GGCCATCTTGTTCACAGACGGCACCTCTGGTATTATTTCAATTCTGTACCCTGTCCCTGAGAATAGCTAGTTCCAAATGATTCAGAGGGATACCAAGTATTACCCTATACCGTGAATGAATAGCTTGGTTTTCATTGCCTAATCCCTGGTTATGCTCTTAAATGATATCTTGGAGTACTGACTGCTGCAAATGCTGTTTTAGAATGAACCCTATTACCAGTTTAGATCTTTCAACTCTTCCTATTGTGAGAAAAAAGAAATAAGAATGTGAATTTATTTTTTCTACATTGAATACTTCAGCCACGTACTGTCTGGTGGCAAAGAGCAGTTCCTAAATATTCAGTAGCATCAGTTCAAACCCCCCATAGCATCCCAGCAAACTAAATTACATTGTCTATCTGTTCATGATGAAAATGATTTCCTTTTTCATAAGCAAAGAACCCTGAAGGTAAAAGAAAGCCTTATTAAAGGAAAAGAAGAAAAACAGAGTAATAAATCAGCGGGCCGTGGTCTTGAGTTCACCCTCTTCCCACAGCAGATGGGGAAGTCACAGATCCTATCCCACCTTGGCTAAGTCCTATGCACAGCTCCCTGCCCAGGCTCTGGGGACCCCGTTGCTGGCCACCTCCATCTCTGCCCCTGAAGGAGCATGCAGTCCCCCAGGTCTCTTTGCCAGTGGGAAGGGAGGCAAGGCAGGAGATGCCCTAGGCTAAATAGCAGTAGTCAGACCGTTCCATCTGTTTGCAGCCACTCTTCACAAATTACTGCTCCCTGCTTCAAATGTCTTGCCTCTAAGTAGTGGGTCTGCAAGGTGCAGCCTGTGCTGGCCCTCACCTCAGTACACAGTGTGAGCTTTTTTCCTTCTGCTTTTGAAAATGAAGATTCAGGCCTCTCCTCCTCTTGTTTCCCTTTCCTAGGACTCTTCCCCATTCTCTTGGAAGGCTACATTGCTGGTTGGGGTGACTCCTCAGCCCATGAGTAACACCTGGCCTGCTCTAGGTCTGGGCACAGCATGGTTTGTCCATGCCTTACCAGACGTAGTTAACTGCCCTTTATTCATACTATTCTCAAACCTGGTGGTATCTAAACAAGAATGCTCTACTCTAGCACGGTTGCTGTGCCAGTGACACCAGCTCCCCTGGACCCCCTTGCTCTCCAGCAGATGTGGACAGGGAACTCTTCACAGAAAGTGGCCAATGGCCAAAGCTCCAGGTTGCTCTTCTTTCCTTTTGTCCACAAGTGTCAGCCATGACCCCTTCCCTGTCACATCAGGCTCCGTGTAATGTTTACCATTTCAGATCTTTTCTTCTCTTCCCTTTCCTTCATATCCATTCTTAAATTAAACAGTGCCAACCTTTCTAACCATGAAGTTTTCCTGGACACTCAAGTTGTCACTGGCTTTCTGAGCTGCTTTCAGATGTGCTATATGCTGTACTGGGGCAGGGGGATCAGAGTCAACACTGTCTGCAAGCATATTTAAATTGACTTTAATAATACTGCTGCATTGCTTTTCTGTTTTTAATCTCTGTTTGCAACCTAGGAGAGCATTTTACTTAGTTTTTTGGCTGCTATTTCTTACAGAACAAGGGTGCCTATTAAATTGTCCAGGAGAGGACCCAATTTTGGCCTGTTGTTACTGATTTTCTTATAATTGCTCATTTTGGATCATGTATTTTGGAGTCCAGCATAGGGCTACAAAGATGATTCAAGGACTGGAGCATCTCCCTTATGAGGAGAGGCTGAAAGAGCTGGGACTCTTTAGTCTGAAGAAGAGAAGGCTGAGGGGAGACCTTATCAATGCCTCCAAGTATCTCAAGGCGGGCTGAGGGAGGAGGGAACCAGACTCTTTTCAGTAGTTGCCAGTGAGAGGACAAGGGGCAACGGGCACAAGTTGGAACATAAGAGGTTCCACTTGAATATGAGGAAGAACTTTTTCACGGTGAGGGTGACAGAGCCCTGGAACAGGCTGCCCAGGGAGGTTGTGGAGTCCCCTTCTTTGGAGATTTTCAAGCCCCGCCTGGATGCAGTCCTGAGTGACATGCTCTGACAAGCTCTGGGTGGTCCTGCTTTAGCAGGGGAGTTGGACTAGATGATCTCTATGGTCCCTTCCAACTCTAAAAATTCAGCGAAATTCAGTGAAATGCAAATCATAATGAGTATAAAAATATTTTGTTCAACTCATAGTTGCTTCTAAGAACAGAAGTTCCCGGCATAGATTTTCATGCCTGTGCCAGACAGAAAAGGTGATTAAGTGGGACAAGTATCTACCCAGATAGTTAAATGAAGCAGTCAAGGAGGGAAGTGCAATCGGCTACACCAAAGGCACCCTGCTCCACTGAGATGTGTCACTCACACTGGGACCAGCTGGACCAGAGCTCATGTGGTGGATATCACTTACCAGCCTCAGTCTCTCACAGACCATTTGCAGGCTACAGAGCAATTCATGAGGGCCCTACCCACTCTTGAATGTTGTTGAGGACCAGACTGCAAAGCAGGTGAAGTGGTTCAGCTGAGGAGCAGACCACTCTTTTTCTGAGGGACTTCATGCTATCAGCTCACCCAGTGTTGGGAGGGTGCCCTTTGAAAGATGGAAGCAAGGAACAGACTAACAACAGGAGAACAGTTTGACTACAAGTCTCTTTGCTTCCTCATCAGAGCAGTGCTTGGGAAAAAGAGCAGGCAGAGTAGCAGCAAGGATTCTCTGGCCATGGTTCTCCATGTAGGTGGGAATTTCCCTAAACGGTCTTCTCACTTGTGCAGTGACTGGGCTGTGAGCAGATGTCAAGAGCATGCATGGAAACTTCACCTCCTCATCTGCAATAAACTTGATGCACTCCGAAGCACTGAGCTTGCTGCACATTCACCATCTGTCTGCTGTATGCACAGGAAGGCTAGCTGTATGTCAGGGCAGTGGGTCATGGTGTAAATTCCACTTCTGCAGCAGGCAGACCACATGTCTTTCTTCCTGCCACAAGACCAGACACACATTCTGGAGATGGTTGTAGATATTTCTATGGGGCATCAGATAGCAGAAGGGCTTTGTGAACCAAGAGAGGTTGGTGCTGGTCTCTTCTCACAGGTAATTAGTGACAGAACGAGAGGGAATGGCTTCAAGCTCCAACAGGGTAGGTTTAGATTGACCATTAGGAAAGAATTTTTCACCGAAAGAGTGATAGGGCATTGGAATAGGCTGCCCAGGGAGGGGGTGGAGTCACCATCCCTGGCTGTGTTTAAGGGCCATTTAGATGCAGTGCTAAGGGACATGGTGTAGGGGAGGACTTTGTAGAGTAGGGGAGATGGTTGGACTCGATGATCCCAAGGGTCTCTTCCAACCTAGACGATTCTATGATTCTGTGATTCTATGATTCTAAGATGGAAGGAAAGAGCCTGCAGCTGACCACAATGATTGTTTGCCTTTCAGTCCTATGCCTACTGCCTTAGGACCTGGCAGAGAGAGAGAACATCAGCCTAGAAAGTCTTATATGCTTTTTCATATCTTTTGTGAATCCACAAGTGGTGGAAGGAAGATGACCTTTCCCTAGCTGAAATGTGGCAAAGTGTTTCCTTCCTTTTTATGTTGGGCACCAAAGAAGCAACAGCCGCTGTCCGTCTGCCAGGGAAAATGCAAACCCAACAGCTCAGGGACAGTTTTCCACACACTCACTTGTTGCACTGCTCTGTCACCTGCTAGTCCTAGCTCTAGTTAAAGTTCTGTTCTGTCATCCCGGTGTCAAAGTGCCGTATGCCAATACCAGAGGCTTGTCAGTAAAAGTCAGATGTTAATGTGCTCACAAGCCATAGACTATATTGCATCCTGGCTAGAGCAGTGTGACATAACTCCAGTTGCTTGCCAGAAGAATGTCCCAAAGTGTTTTCTGACTGCCAGTGTCAGCAGCATCTGGATATTTCACGTCCATGTTTCAGATTTTGAGGGTAGTGTTGAAATCCCCACTCAGCAGTAGGGATCTAGCAGTCAAGTTTGTCAAAACGGGAGTTTCTGACTTTGGATTGAGTCACGTTGATGCTGAAAATCATATGAAAACCAGTATGTTCCTATAAAATCTTTCAGTATGGCTCCACATTTCCTGGTACAAAATTGTTTGCCTAGACATATTTTTATCTGTAGCTGAAGATCTGATTGCCCTTGACAATAAAAGTGTGCTTATTCAATCCAGGACCAAAGAATAGTTTAGAGAGGACCCACCACAGAGAAGTGCAGCGTATGCCCAGCTGTCTTAAGTGTGTTGGCCGCAAAGGCATGAAATAATGTGAGATTTGTCTCTCTTCTCCCATTGACTGCTGCATCTGGACCTTCATTTTAACAAATATGTGTGAAATATTCCCAAATGTTTGGTGGTCATACCAGGGCTGGCTGCTAGATGAACCCCCATGATCACAGTGTTTCCCTGCAGTAGTTCTTTTTTTGACCTAGGTAGAAGTCAAATCTGTCTAGGTACATTTAGTGCGTAATAAGTCATCCCCATAAACAGGTTCTCAGCACTTGAAAACTCTTGATGACTTACTACCAAAAATTGAGATGTAAAATTAAATGTATTCCAAATAGGCTGAAGAGACGTTTATTATGATTTTTTTGTGCTACCTCCTCGCCCATAGCCATAGCTATTTTTATATACCTTAATTAGTTCTTCATTTGGCAGGCCTGCAGACGTGCTGCAGGGAAAATGTATTGAGCACAGAGAAGCTGCAATATTTCTCATCCCCAGGACACAGGCTTCAAAGCTCAATGGCAAAGCTTGCAATGACATGATCATCAAACCTTTCAAGCCTTCATGATTCATTATGTTTGAGGAGGTGTGGCTGGCATCACTGGGGTGTCTGACTTTGTCAAAGTTGGTATGTATCCTGTACAGGTTGTTGAGTGGGGGTGGCCACGGAGGCATACTAAGTTGTTGATGGGACAATGCAGAACTGCTGTGACAGTGTGGGGTCTTGGTGTGTAGCTAGAATCACTTTTCATGTCTTTCTTTTGCAGTTCCCAGAGATGGGCTCTCCAATGCTTTGGTTATGAAGAAAGAAGGGCTGCTGAACTCTTGTTTTGCAATGGAGAAGACAGAGGGAGAAACACCAGCACTGTGGCTCCCACCCTGTTGCTTACCCTCCTGCAGACATGTGTCCCAAATCCTCTCTGTGCTGTATTAAGGAAAGGAAAAGCTTAGACTTTACAACATCTGATTTCTTACATCACCTTTTCCAATTTTTCATCCTATAACCCCCTGGTGAAAAAAGGAACAATGACTTTATATAGCTGCTGCTTGATTCTTTTGCTATTTACCTGGAACACAGCTGCCTACGGGCCAAACCAACGGGCACAGAAGAAGGGAGACATTATTCTTGGAGGATTGTTCCCCATTCATTTTGGAGTGGCTGCTAAAGACCAGGATCTAAAATCAAGACCAGAATCAGTGGAGTGTATAAGGTAAGCCATGAAAAGAAAAAATAAACAGTTTTGGTGGGGGAGTCTTGCCCTTTCTTGGCTACACTGTGTAAATACAGTCTATAACCTCATGCTTGTAAAGGCAATGGGAAAGAATGGTGTAAATAACAGAATAGAACAGTCATGTAAGGACAGGAATTGCGTATGTTAAACAGTAACATAAATAATATTTGGACAGTGAAAGGGGACAATCTTTGTATTACCCAAAGCTGCCAAGACATGAATCTGTCTAGCCATTCACAGTGGACATTTGAATAGTATCTGAAAATTAGCTTTCCTAGCAGAAGGATGGAAAATAACCCATAATGCCCTTAAGTTTATTTGATTACAATCATGCACAGAGAAATAGCTTAGAAATCAAATTTTGGGTTTTTTCCAGTTCTGCCTCATCTTCTAAGACTTTACAAAACTGTTTAGTTCCCTAAACAAGTGAATAGGTGAAAGTCACTGCTTTTGAAAAGTCCCACCGAACACACAGATGTCTCTTTAGGACATTTACAAAGTCCCAGACTTGAACTCCTTACCCAGGCTTTTGACGCTCAAAGTTCTTTTCTTCTGTGTAAACAGTGCATATAGGTTTTGTCTTAAGTCCTTGGCAGTTAACCCTGGAGAGAGAAATGCACATGAAAACAAAGTATCGTATTGCTGAAGTGTAGCCATTTTTATGATGAAACACTAGGAACTTTTACCCTTACAACCTTGCACATAATACACATAAAGTGTGACAGAAATTGATTGCATCTGAAATGTCATGTAAACAAAATATAAGAAATTGATGTGGAATTTTGTCATGGCCATGCATGGGAAAACAATTAAGTGTTATAGGACCTCTTCTGTAATCGTATGTGAAAAGTTGTGTATCTGGAATTATTTGGACCTCTCATCCTAGACTGGGGATGTAGTACAGTTTTGTTGCAGATGGTAATGAAGAATGGCTGACAGCATTCCTGCTATGCTTACAGATTCCAGGTGTGGTTTCCTGCTGAGACACTGAGCAGGACACATCCATCTAGGTTATGAGATCATCCACAGATGGTCTCATAGCAGGCCCACAGAAAGAAGTGCAATTAAGCAGGGTTTCTTTTGGCTTCTTCTGTGCATGCACAAGCAAGTCATGAACTTTCACTATGTGAAATATCTGCTCCATGGAGCAGGATGCTCTGCCAGATTTTCAGCATTTCTTTCTCTCCCAGGTGCAGCATCTTAAAAGTGAAACACTGAAAAGCAATGGATGTTTTCATCTCTGCTGTCTTCTCTACCTCTTCCAGGTGGCAGGCATAACAGTGCAGATATTTGCAAACTGAACATAGCTTTCATTCCTGTCAGTGTTGGGTCAGTCTTGGTGATTCCCTTGACATGGTCACTTTCTTAGAACAGATAACAGGAGAACATTCCCCTTAGAGTACTACAAGAGTGTGGTTGCCAAAAGATTTGTTAATGAGGTAGCACTGCCAACAACAGGCAAATCCTGAAAAGCCAGAACAGCAATTTCAAGGACACAGTGGGAGATCCTTCTGGGTGGCAGTTGGTCTGCTAAAAGGCATCCTCCAGCTGAAATCTTCCTGGGTAAAATCTATGTTCCTCTTACTTCTGCACCAAGAATTTTCAGGTGCAAAAGGAGGAGTTGACTGAAGGGGCATTTGTGCCACTTCGCTGCACGCCTTCAAGGAGCTGGATAAACTGTGACTTGATAGCATAATGCAAATGGAGAGAGAATACTTAGTGAAAGCCAGAGATCTATCTGCAAAGCTACTAACAAGTAAATAGGAAGAAGGGGATGGCTGAACCAGAGATGACTGGAAGCTCTTTCATTGCACATGTCTTTACCAGAAAATGTCCATTTCCAGGGAAGATTTAATTCAAAAGATAATAGTTTGGGAAGACTTTTTGAGCCTGATCATCAGATTTTCTTGATTAAGATAATTAATCCATGGGACCCTTTATGGGCTGTGCTGTTTTCCTTGTTATTGGTACATGCTAAATTGAGAGCAGATATTTTTCCTGAAAGGATTTTTCTATTTAAGCAGAATTTAAGTCAGAAAATTCCTCTGACTGGACTTGTACAGAGATCTCACAACACAACTGTAGTGGGGCTTTTTGGTTTTGGACTCCATGATTACGTAGCATCTTGGGGCAGGGTTGTGCATGCTGAGTCTAAGAGTCCAATAGATTCTTCAGGTCATGAGCTAGAGTCTTTCATATCACATTTCAGTGTCAAAAACTTATGTAGGGTGGGAAATAAAGGACCATAAGCATGGCAGTACCTGGTCAAACCAAAGATGCTAAGTTTGTTCCATACCTTTGGCTGCCCTGTTGCCTTTCTCTGAGCCTTCTCCAGCACTGCTGTATCTTTTCAAAGCTGAGGCAAAACAGCTTTATACCCCTTTTAGATGGCTGTGTACAGCTTTTAGTCTCTTTATTACATAGGAAAATGTGTCTCATATCACATAAGAAAACTAGACCCAGGTCACTCTAGGAGTATGTGGGCATCCTCTCTCTTTCCTCATACTTCTCCTTTGGTGGCAACAGCAACAAGTTAGACCATTAGACCATAAGAAAAGCTCCTTGCTTTGGGACCAAGAAAAGACCTAGGGGTCCCACTAAAACCCTGCAGGTGTTTTGCCCATGACTCTTCTGGAGTTCAGTATCAAAAAGTTTAAGATAATGTGGTTTTCCTTTCTTTTGAGGACCATTCAATCTGATCTGTGCTGTTAGTCCTCTTCCTACACATTTAGCTGTGTTCAGTGTCATACCTGTGCTCCCAAACAGGGCTTTTCAAAATGGGTAGGACAGTTTTCTCTCAACTTTTTCAGTTTTCACACTCTTCATACTCTTGGGGCGCAGAACCTTTCTCCCCAGCTCAGCATATGTACTGACCTGAACCTACTACGTGTACCTTCCACGTAATTATAACTCAGCAGTGAAAGGAAAAGAGAACAGTAATGATCACAGAATCATAGAATGGTTAGAGTTGGAAGGAACCTTAAAGATCATGTAATTCCAACACCCCTGCCATGGGCAAGGACACCTTCCACTAGACCAGGTTGCTCAAAGCCCCATCCAGCCTGGCCTTGAACGCTTCAAGGGATGGGGCATCCACATCTTCGCTGGGCAACTTGTTCCAGTGTCTCACCACCTTCACATTAAAGAATTTCTTCCTAATACCTCATCTAAATCTCCCCTCTTATAGTTTAAAGCCATTACCTATCCTATCACCATACCATCCTATTGCTACACTTCCTGGCAAAGAGTCCCTCCCCTTCTCTCCTGTAGGTCTCCTTCAGGTACTGGAAGACCACAATAAGGTCTCCCTGAAGCCTTCTCTTCTCCAGGCTGAACACCCCCAATTCTCTCAGCCTGTCTTCATAGGAGAGATGCTCCGGCCCTCTGATCATTTTCATGGCCCTCCACTGGACCCATTCCAACAGGTCCATGTTGTTCCTGTGTTGAGGACTCCAAAGCTGGACACAGTACTCCAGGTGTGGTCTCACGAGAGCAGAGTAGAGGGGTAGAATCACCTCCCTTGACTTGCTGGCCATGCTTCTTTTGATGCAGCCCAGGATGTGGTTGGCTTTTTGGGCTGCCAGCATGCATTGCCGGCTCACGTTGAGCTTCTTATCCACCAGCACTCCCAAGTCCTTCTGCTCAGGGCTGCTCTCCAGCCACTCTCCACCCAACCTGTATTTGTGCCTGGGATTGCCATGACCCAGGTGCAGGACCTTGCACTTGGCTTGGCTGGACTTCCTGAGATTTGCACAGGCCCACCTCTCAAGCCTGTCCAGGTCCTTCTGGATGGCATCGCTTCCCTCCAGCGTGTCAACTGCACCACACAGCTTGGTGTTGTTGGGAAACGTGCTGAGTGTGCACTCTATCCCTCTGTCCGTGTCTCCGACAAAGATGTTAAACAGCACTGGTCCCAGTACTGACCCCTGAGGAACACCACTCATCACTGGCTTCCACTTGGACATTGAGCCGTTGACTGCAACCATTTGAGTGCGACCATCCAGCCAGTTCCTTGTCCACCGAGTAGTCCATCTATCATACCCATGACTTACCAATTTTGAGACTAGGATGGAATGTGGGACAGTGTCAAGCTCTTTGCTGAAGTCCAGGTAAATGACATCTATTGCTCTCCCCTTATCTACCAATGCTGTGGCAATATCATAAAAGGCCACTAAATATTTCAGGCATGGCTTGCCCTTGGTGAAGCCCTGTTGGCTGTCACCAATCACCTCCTTATTTTCCATGTGCCTTAGCAAAATTTCCAGGAGGATCTGCTCCATGATCTTGCCAGGCACAGAGGTGAGACTGACTGGCCTGTAGTTTTCTGGGTCGTCTTTTTTTGCCTTTTTGAAAATGGGGGTTATGTTTCCCCTTTTCCAGTCAGAGGGAACTTCTCCAGACTGCCACAGCTTTTCAAATATAATGGAAAGTGGCTTAGCAACTTCATTTGCCAGCTCCCTCACGGCCCAGGGATGGATTTCATCAGGTCTCATGGACTTCTGCACCTTCAGGTTCTTTAGATGGTCTCAAACCTGATCTGCTCCTACAGTGGGCAGTTCTTCATTCTCATAGCCCCTGTTTTTGCCTTCTGCAACTTGGGTGGTGTGGTTAGAGCCCTTGCCGGTGAAGACTGAGGTGAAAAAGTCATTCAGTACCTAAATGATCTGTTCTCCATTCTTTTTGTGCTGATTCTACTGAAAATGCATCTTCACACTTTAAGCACTGAGTTTTAGAGTCCAAAGTGAAAACTTATGTGTGATTTTGCCACACTAAATGTCAGATCGGAGTATGGAAAGTAAGAACAATTTTTTTTCCTGTGTTTCAGAAATACTGACATGGCTTGATGTTTAAGCAATCAAGTATCCCGCATTTGATATAAATACACCCTCTGTCTTTGTGTACTTTTGTGTGTGCTGTTACAGCAACTTTCCTTATAACATTGGCTGATGCATATCTGATATGTGCCGTGGAGGCAGAGG